AGGGGTCTTGGAAAATAGCTTGACCTCTTCCTCCTCTCTGGGGCAGCCCTTCAAATATTGGAAGATGCTCTCCTGCCTCCCCTGGTCCTTCTCTTACCTAGACTGGCCAGGCCCAGTTCCTGCAACCGTTCTTCATATGTTTTAGTCTCCAGTCCTCTCATCATCCTGGTTGCTCTTCTCTGCACTCTTTCTAGAGTCTCAACATCTTTTTTATTGTGTGGTGACCAAAACTGGATGCAGTACTCTAGGTGTGGCCTTACTAAGGCTTTATAGAGTGGTATTAGTACTTGATCTCGATTGCATCCCTCTGTTAATGCACCTTAGGATTGCATTAGCTTTTTTGGCTGTCACTGCACACGGCTGGCTCCTCTTTAGCTGGTTGTCCACTGAGACTCCAAGATCTCTTATTACAGGTCCTGCTATGGAGCCTGGTTTCACCCAGTCTATATGGGTCCTTTGGGTTTTTCTTGCCTAAGTGTAGGACTTTCCTTTTCTCCACACTGAATTTCCTTTTGTTAGATACGGTCCAGGGTTCAAGTCCGTCAAGATCCCTCTGGATCTTGAGCCTGTCTTCTTGGGTGTTGGCTATTCCTGCCAGCTTAGTATCACCTGCGAATTTGGTCAGTTCCCCTTCTATTCCCTCCTCTAAGTTGCTAATATTGAAGAGTCCTGGGCCTAAGAGGGAACCTTGTGGCACCCCACTGCTTCCTTCCCTCCGTGTAGACTTAGACCCATTTACAAGCGTTACAGAGTCCCTGCCCTTGTGGGTTCACAATTCGTACACACGCATTGACACAAAGCCAGCTTCGGCCAAGCAGAGTCACAACGTGCGGTTCCCTTAACAATGGCAAAGTTTTGCTTAACAACAGTGGCCAGAAAGGGTGCACAACGGGGGGCGGGGGGGGCACAACACGCTTCTCAACCGTCTCGCTTTGCAACGGACAGGTTGGGCCTGGTCTCCGCTGGGGGTTGTAAACTCTGTGTGTGTGTGTGAATTGCCCATACTCACTTTCTTTGGCTTTGGACTCCTTGTTTCGGACGATGTACAGGTAGCGTGGGCTTTCTGGACAGAAGGGGAAGAGCATCAGCTGTAGGATGGAGGGTACCACGGTGATGCCCATCAAGAGGGGCCAGTAGGTCTCCGTGCCCAGCAGGGTGTCCAGGCCGCACACCTATGGCAGGAAGGGGGGTGGGGGTGTGGTGGGAAAAAACAGGTTGGTTCAAGACCGACGCGCAATCACCTGGAAGACGCTACGCTCAATATCGATGCAGAAAGGAGAACAGTTGTAGCTCAGGGTTGGAGGGTCCTTCCTTGGGGGCTGTCTTAGCTGGGTGGCTTTCTTGCAGACGTTTCATCACCCAGCTAGGGAACATCATCAGTGCTAGAAGGGAGAAGGAGGGGGAGAAGGAGGGGGAGAAGGAGGAGGAGCAGGAGAAGGAGGAGGAAGAGGAAGAAGAAGAGGAGGAAAAGGAGGAGGAAGAGGAGGAGGAGAAGGAGGAGGAAGAGGAGGAGGGGGAAGAGGAGGAGGGGAGGAGGAGGAAGAGGGAGGAGGAGCAGGAGGAGGAGGAGGAGGAGGAAGAGGAGGAAGAGGAGGAGGAGAAGGAGGAGGAAGAGGAGGAGGGGGAAGAGGAGGAGGGGAGGAGGAGGAAGAGGGAGGAGGAGCAGGAGGAAGAGGAGGAGGAGGAGGAAGAGGAGGAAGAAGAGGAGGAGGAGGAGAAGGAGGAGGAGGAAGAGGAGGAGTAGAAGGAGGAGGAAGAAGAGGAGGAGGAGAAGGAAGAGGAGGAGGAGGAAGAGGAGGAGGGGGAAGAGAAGGGGATGGCAGAGAAGGAGGGGGCTGGATGGAGTCCCTGAAGCAGTCATTGTGAGCTTAAATGGATTTTCTATTTCACTATATTACTTTATTTGATTTTTTTCAAGTTTTATTGTTTTTCAAATTGTGGTTTTTCTATGTGGTAAGCCACCCTGAATCGCCATGGCGAACCGGCAGCAGAGCAAATCTAATAAATAAATTAAATAAACAAACAAATAAATTAGTAAGTCACTCGGTTCGAATTAAACTCGGTTTCTGGACTGCCACCTTGTCAGAAATGGCGTAGGGTCCCCCTGCTTGGGCAGGGGGTTGGACTAGATGGCCTCCAAGGTCCCTTCCACCTGTGATGATCTGCTGTCTAACCGATCATGACTGTGTCAAAGCTCACACCCCCCACCCCCAGCCTCGGTGACCCTTATCCCGTGGAGGGGCACCCCAGGTTTTCATTTCCACATCAGGGCAAGTCCAGGCCAGCCCCCCCTCTTTGACCCACCCCCCCTCCAAATCTCTTAACATGGGGAGGGGGCTGCTTACCTGAGCGATGAGAATGCCGATGACAATAGCCAGCTGGTTCATGGTCCCCAAAGCCCCCCGAAGCTTGGTGGGGGCGATCTCCCCCACATACATGGGGACCAATCCGGAGGCAAATCCTGCACAGGGTGGGGGTGGGGGAAGAGGTGTGAGTGTGAATGAGACCCCCCTCAATTGCCCCTACCCAGAGGGGGGGGGGGAAATCCACTGAAATGCTTTTTTCTCGGGGGTGGGGAGGGGGAACGATGTTGAAAAACCATCCCTGGGCTACTTGTGGAGGCATGCTGCTCCTGAACATGGAGGCTTGACAGGACGGAGGATTCAAGTTTGCTAAACTTAGGGTCACCGTGGGTTAGCTCAAACCCCCCCCCCGCTCCGCCAATCAACAGCTCCTTGGATTTTAGGACATTTTTGTCTGCCTTCTCATATTGTAGATAAGTCAGTTGGAAGATAGATTGGTGGAGTCGATTTTCATTCCTTCGTTCGTTCGTTCGTTCATTCATTCATTCGTTAGTTCGTTCATGCCTTGACTGCATTGAGATACCATTCTAGTCAAATCTAGTTCAGTGCAATTGAGGTAACTGAGTTCTAGTCCACTCTAAAAGCCAGCTGGGTGACTCAGGGCCAATCACCAGGAGACAGGGAGTTCTAGTCCCGCCTTAGGCATG